TCCTAGCTGCTTCAGAGGCTGAGATCTGAGGATTATGATTTGAAACCAGCCCAGGCAGAAGTCTGTGAGACTCATCTTCAATTAAGCACCAAAGAAGTTGAAAGTTGAGGTGTGACTCTAATAGTAGAGCTTTAGCCTTGACCCAAAAAAAGCTCAAGGACAGCACCCAGGCTCTGAGTTCAAGACACAAAATAGGCACACACACAAAAAAACCCAGATATATAAATAGATGATAATGAGTCACCAAAGGTGGGAAGAAAATAAGGAGAATAAGGAAAGGGCAAACCTAACTATATTTAATACTGAAAATTTACTAAGTAGATGCTAGGTGATGGTACCACTAAAAAGAAAGAATATGAAAGATAATAGGCTAATTTGCTTAATGATAATCATTTCAAATTATCACATTATCTTGTACAGCTTAGATAACAAGTCTCTCTGGAGTATTAACTTTCTACTATGAATTCTTGGCTACTAAACATATTTGCACTGTAAGGTGATGTCAGCATATATACACAGGTACAAATGCACGTATGTGTATGTGTTTTGTGTGTAAAAGTAAGTGTAGGGCTGACTTCCTTTAATTTTCTATGTGTCCATACGTTCAATTTTAAAAGTATGTGGCAGCTAGGCACCAGTGGCTCACACCTATTTTAGTTACTCAAGAAGCTGAGATCTAAAGAATGCTGCTCAAAGTCTCTCAAAAGAAAAGTTTCTGTAAGGTTCTTTTTGTTTGTTTGTTTTAATGTCCGTCATGGTGCTTGAACCCTGGGCCTGGGCTCTATCCCTCAGATCTTCAGCTCAAGACTAGCGCTCTGCCACTTGAGCCACAGTGCCAGTTCTGGCTTTTTCTGTTTATGTGGCGCTGAGGAATTGAGCCTAGGGCCTCATGCATGCAAGGCAAGCACTCTACCATCGAGCCACCTTCCCAGCCCCTCTGTAAGGTTCTTATCTCCAATTAACCACATTAAAAAAAAAAGATAGAAAAAGAAAACATTGAAAGTGGAACTATGGCTCAAGTAATAGAGTATCAGCCTAGAGGAAAAAAAGTTCAGAGACAAGCGCCCAGGCCCTTAGTTCAAGTTCTAGCACTTGCACAACAGAAACTTGAGTGTGCATTCCTTTTTAAACCCTGAGTCATATGATACTGTTCAGTACATGACCGATAAGAATCCTGACATTTGGTTCTTTTTTGTCTGTCTTTAGTGGTAGTGGTGGGGGGGTCACCAAAAAAAATAAAAACAACAAAACAAACAACCTAAGAGTCTAGCCAAGTAAGGTCGCTCAACTGTCACTGAGGACTTAACTAGGTGTTGAAATCCAGACACACTTCAGTTCCAGAAAGAAGAATCTATAGAAATAGACCAACTTTCTCAGAGGATGCTAATTTGGACCCTTCTCAGGTCTCAAGAGGTTGCAGCCTAAAGACTACTTCTTTCATTTGGTCTTCAGCTGTGAAGTAAAGAAATTCATAAAGTTCCAAACAGGGCAACCAAATAAAGAAACTAGGTAATAGTTTTCATCAACATGATTAAATTCTAACACTTAAGTTCTCTACTGGTGACTGATATGGGAAATTCTAAACTTATAGATTGTGTGCCCTATGAACCAAGGCCTACATTCCTATAGAAATGGCAGAAATGCCACTCTGGGAAGGTGGCTCAGTGGTAGAGCACTTGCCTTGCATGCATGAGGCCCTGGGTTCAATTCTTCAGTACCACATAAGCAAAAAGAAAACAGCAGGAAGTGGTGCTGTGGCTCAAATGGTAGAGTGCTAGCCTTGACCTGAAGAGCTGAGGGACGGCGCCAAGGCCCAGAGTTCAGGCCCCATGACCAGACCAAAAAAAAAAAAAGAAAGAAATGGCAGAAATGCCACACTAATTATAAGAATATCTTCTGTAACAGCCCATAGTAATAATTAGCCCACACTGAAGTATAAATGAAGACCTGATTTATTGGTTTTAAAGATATACTGTATTATACTGTTGGTGGAATGTAATATAGTATAACCACTCTGGGTGATTTGCTGCTTTCTCAAAAATCCAAACATGGAGCTACCCAATGATCCAGTAATACCATTGTTGTACATTACAGATCAGGATACAGAATAATACAGCTCAGGATAGAGGAAAGACACTTGGGCATTCATGTTCATGACTTCGCTATTCACAAGCTAAGTTATGGAAATGTCCCAGATGCCCTAAAACAGATGAGTGGAAAATGTGGCACATATATACAATAGACTTTTGCTCATCTATTATAATGAATCCTGTTATTTGCAGAGAAGTAGATGGACCTAGTAAAAATTAGATTTTGTTTGTCAGAGAGACAAACAGCAAACTCTTTTTCTTATGTGGAAGCTGGTCTAAAATACAAGCATACACAGAAACAAACACACACATGAACAGAGTAATAGCATACCTAGAGGAGGAGCTCAAAGCTGTAACTCCTCTGCAGAACTAAGGAACAGTTTAAAAACTGAATACTAAAGCTAGCATCAGTGGCTCACACCTGTAATCCTAGCTTCTCAGGAGGCTGAGATCTGAGGATCTCGGTTCAAAGCCAGCCCGGGCAGGAGAGACTGTGAGACTCCTATCTCCAATAAACCACCAGAAAAACGGAAGTGGCGCTGTGGCTCAAGTGGTAGAGTGCTAGCCTTGAGCTGAAGAGCTGAGGGACAGCGCCCAGGCCCAGAGTTCAGGCCCCACCACTGGACCAAAAAAAAAAAAAGAAAGAAAAAAAAAGTCACAAGTAGTGCTGTGGCTCAAATGGTAGAGGCAGCTTTGAGCAGCTCAGGGACAGTGCCCAAACCAAGCCCTGGGACAGGCAAAAAACTAAACTCCCTTTTAGTATTTTGGCATTTCTTAAAAGTCAAGATCAATACTAAACCTGTTAAATGTAGGGTACCTATTTGCATAGCTTCTAGGTATGTCTTATATCTTAAAACCAAATGGCATTTTACCTATACTATCTCATGGCCCACCTACTAAATATATCTCCTTCGCATAGTCCTCTTTCCTTCCCTCTAGACACAAGCATTCATAAACACTTGAATATTTTGAGTGAATATTTTAAGTTTTATCAAGGATTTATTTTAACAGGATTAAAATGGGGGCGGGGGAAGAAACTTTTCTGCTCCCATGCAGGAAATGGCAGTTATGGACCCCTTTTTTTCTTAATACAGATTTGTTATTACTGAAAGGATTCCATTAATATCCTTGAACAAATACTTTCCTCCCTAACTATAAAAATTGCTGTGGAATTGTTCCTTTGGAATACATGCTAAGTAAAACCCTACCCTCAACTACCTTAGAAAGTGATCTTATTTGAAGGAATATTTAGATGTAAGAAGGTAGAAATCTGACCACAGACTCAGAGGGAAGTGAAAGACACAGAAACAGACACCTACAGGCCAAGGAGAAAAGCCTACAGTCCTGGCCCTCCCAAATCCAGTCCTACTAACACTTCCATTTTTGGGCCAGAAGCCTACATCTCAGATTTATGAGATAATGAACTTCCCAGTTTGTGACTCTTGGGAAGCTGATACAACTCTTACAAAATGCCTGCCAAATGGTTATAACAAATTATATACTGAGCAGCATCTATATGGGTAACTTTTTCTTCATACCTTTAGTGTCTTTATAATATTTTGTTAAATGTTTAAGAATAAATGCACACTTTGTGTATATTTGTGCTACTCTTTTTTGTCAGTACTGGGACTTGAACTCAGGGCCTGAGCACTATCCCTGAGCTTTCTTGCTCAAAGCTAGCACCCTACCACTTGAGCCACAACACTTCTGGCCTGCTCTATTCATAAGGAAATGAGAAATTGGAACCCAGGGCATGCTAGGCACACACTCTACCATTAACCCATGTTCCTAGCTTCTTTGAGTTCTTTTTGAAGAAAAAAAAAATTACTGCCAGTCCTGGGCACTGTCCCTGAGATGCTTTTTGCTCAGAGCTAGCACTCCATCACTTGAGCTATAGCATCATTTCCAGCCTCTTCTGTTTATATGGTATTAAGGAATCCAACCCAGGCTTTCATGCATTCTGGGCAAGTATTTTACCACTAAGCCACATTCCCAGCCCCAAATCTTTATTTGTTTTTGCTAGTCCTAGGGCTTGGGCACTGTCCCTGAGCCTCTTTTGCTCAAGGCTAGTGCTCTACCACTTGAACTGCAGAGCCATTCCCCTCTTTGAGTTCTTTAAGCAAGCATTTACACACCTCTGGGGTTTTATGCATTTTTATTTTGACATATGAATTCACATCACTAAATACACTCATATCTAACTTTATGATTACAATTTGATAGAATGATAAAATTATAAGATGAATCTAGCTTTAAAGAATATGTAACTACTCATTTTACTATATACTATAAAATATTCATTGATTACACCTGTGATTTACATTACTAAAAGCTACATAACTAGAAACTAAAAGTTATTTTCCTATGTAGTAGGTGAGAATATATCCAATAATCTAACATATCACGGGATTATGTTTTTGAAGTACATTGATCACTGACCTTTCTACTGAAAGGAAAAATATTGGTGTTCTTAAAATGGTATCACAGCTGAGTGCAGGTGGCTCATGCCAATATTCCTAGCTACAAGAAGCTAAGATCTGATGGTCGAAGCCATACAGCCCGGGCAAGAAAGTCTAAAAGATTTTCATTTCCAATTAATCATCAAAAAAGCCAGAAGTAGGACTCTGGCTTAAGTTGGCAGAGCACTAGCCTTGAGAAAAATAGCTAACGTACCAGTATTGGTACCAATATATATAGTTCAAAGCCAGCCTGGGCAGGAAATTCCGGAGACTCTTATCTCCAATTAACCACCAGAAAACCGTGGCTCAAGTGGTAGAGCACTAGCCTTGAGCTGAAGAGATTAAAAAAAAAAAAAAAAGACAAGAGACAAAAGAGGAAAATAAGGATGTGAAGATGATCAAATATATTTCATATATATATACACATATATATATGAAAGTGTTAGGAAACCCATTATTTTGTTCAAGGATAATTTTTAAAAATCCCCATCTAGAAGTAACAATGTAGGATGCAAATTTTTCTCCAATTACTTTTCTACTAATGAGGTTTATCTTCCATCTTCTCTTCCTTCTATGATTTCTTTGGCTTCTTCGTGTGAGTTAAGATGTGAGCTCTCATGTTACTGGACTGAATAAACTTTCTGTTACAGCCATCCAAAGGACACTCGAAACGTTTCTCGCCAGTGTGGATGCGTACATGTGTACGTAAGTTGAAGTCCAGGGAAAAGCGTTTCCCACATCCTTCAAATGTGCACTGGAATGGCTTCTCTCCACTGTGGACCAGATAATGCCGCGTCAGCTTGGCCTTTTCTGCAAATGCACGCCCACACTCGGAACACACAAACTGCCGGGGACTATGAACTAGCGAATGCTTCTTCAGGGCAGCTCTGTTTCTCACCATTTTTGTGCAGCCCCTCTCAGGACAAATCATTAACTTCAGAGCACCACATGCATTACTATTCGGAGGCTTCTTTCCAGTACCTTCTGTGACAGGTTTAGGACCCAAGTTACCACTGGGTAGTCCTCCAGAAGCGAGCTTCTTGCTTGGTGTGTGCTCAGAATCTCCAGGCGGTGAATTCGTTTCAAACATCTGTTGAGGAAGCTCTTGTTGGGTGCCTTTGGTCATGGGTGACAACGAAGGCTTAGGAAGGGAGCTAGTAGTACCCTGAAGAATCTGCTCAGAAAGATTTTTTTCTGTTTCTTCCTTCAGGATTGCAAAGGAGTTAAGGAACTCCTCTTGTGGGATGGATTCAGAAATCTCACCTCTTATTACACATTCTATGTAACAGTCTGAAAAATCATCATCTCCAACAATATGATTAATCTCATATAGCAGGTCATCTTCATCACAGAGAGTTTCCCTCCTGTCGTCCCGCCTTGGTTCGGCTTGGTGGAGAGTTTCTTCACTCAGGCCTTTTGGGCCACTTGGCTTTGCTCTTCTGTTCATCTGCTGCCTCATCCTGCCCTCACTTGTAGCAGACTAATAACAATCACTTCTGGGTAGTTCTGATCCAGGTAAGGTGCTGCCAACAAACACCTGTTTAAAGAAAAAGACTATGAGCTCTGGCAGAGAACATGACCGAGCGTCTGTCACCACCTCATTGATCACTTAGCTTTTACTGAGCACTCACTATGATACTTGCCCTATTCCGGGCCACACCATGGCATGATAGCTATCTCATTAAGCAGACCTAGAAAAGGGTATGGCTCCATGGACCAGGTGTCCACATGCATATGTAATATAAATATGTAATATGTAAAATAAATACTATAGCTTACAAAGAGTTACTTATGAGTAAGCAGAGGGTCTGGCAGGAAGTAGAACTTTGTAATTCTAACAGTATTTAACATACCTTTACTGAGTGTTCATGGCAGCTTATTTAAAAAAAAACTTGAAGGAGACAAAGGGAATAAGACATCCTTGCTTTCATATGTAACTGTGGTGAAGCTAAAGTAATAGATGTAAAACAAATTAAATAATAGATGTAAGGTGCTTAGCACTTATGTGATCTACTGCTACTTTGTTACCTTTTTAGTTTATTCTATAAAGACATGACGGATCCTGTTACTTAGGAAAGCAGCTCTTCAGACACACCTCTGTTGAAAGTATTCAAATTCACTTTTTTGGTAGAAAGTAGTGAACGACAAGTAAAGGACTGAGAATGCTACATTGAAAACAGGAAGAGGTTGGATTTTGCCCATAGGCTATAATTTCCTTGGCCCATTGTTCTAGGTGATTTTCTGAATCCCAAATAAAGCACATAACATCCTTTATCATTTCAACCTCTTTCTACTGTAAGCCAGAATAAAGGCCCATTGGTAATCTGGCTCTGATATTTTACATTATTTCCTTAAAATTCTAAATGCAAGACAGTTACAGCATGCATACAGAATCGCTGCTTTTACAGAACCGTTTGCTCAATATTACAATTGCATGTGTAATAAAAGATCTCTTTATTTATTGTTCTGGTATATTGCTGGAGGAAGAGAAACTAAATGCTTTCTAAACGAGGGCAAATGTGAAAGCAGTGGGGGTGAATCTAGCAGCTTGAAAATACCTTGAAATGGGCACATTAAAGAATAGCATCTGAATACAATTATGCTATTTGCTTTTGGCAAAGATTTAAAAAAAAAGAAAAAATGGGATAAAATAAGACTTAAAAATTATTGTAAACGTGATGTGCCATTTCACAAGTGAGGTAAGGATTACATTTTGGACAACGTCACCCCTTCCTTTGTTGTCTCCCAGTTTTCCCTCCTACCTCTGGTCACAAGTTGTATAGTTCATTTTATTTTAATTGTGAAAATAGGGATTACAATTACATGGGCAAGGTAATGAGTACATTTCTTATCAAGCATTGTTGCCTCCTCCTTTGTTTCCCCTTCCCATCTCCCCCCTTGTATAGTTCATTTTTAACAGTCTACTGAGTACCACTGTTGCATTTGTTCACCCACTTTTGTATAATAAGAAATATTTTGGGCTGGGAAGGTGGCTCAGTGGTAGAGCGCTTGCCTTGCATGCATGAGGCCCTGGGTTCGATTTCTCAGCACCACATAAGCAAAAAGAAAAAAGCCGGAAGTGGTGCTGTGCTCAAGTGGTAGAGCGCTAGCCTTGAGCTGAAGAGCTGAGGGACAGCGCCCAGGCCCAGAGCTCAGGCCCCACAACCGGACCCCCCCCCAAAAAAAGAAAAAGAAATATTTTAACTACTAAGGAAAGAGTTTAAAACTTCTTCCCAAAAATGTTATATATAGAAAGGGTTAGGGACATATCAATGGCAGAACATTTGGCTATCATACATGATGCCTAGGTTTGATATTCAACACTACCACCAAGAAACAAAACAAAACACAGTGCTATTGTTTATACCATTGTGACACAATAAAATAAAATCCTAGTACCTTAGACTATAATCAGTAGGCTCAAACAAAATTAGCTCGTTAAAAAACTACAATTTGATTTGACTCTTGCTTCTTGCTTAAGCATGCATATGCATGTGTATGCATGCACGTGCATATGCGCACGCGCGCGCGCGCGCGCGCACACACACACACACACACACACACACACACAGCTTGCCTCTCCATAGGTCAGATCTCTACTTAAAGATCACTTCCACCAGATTTTCCTTGATTGCTAGGATCCTAGCATTTAGAATTTTAGAAAAATAATGTAAAATGTCAAAGTCAGATTACCCTGGGCACTCACACATACACACAAGCCAGAAAGGGAGCTGTGGCTGAATTGGAAGACTTCTAGCTTCCAGTCAAAAGGCTCAGCAACAGTGCCCAGGCCATGAAGCTAACAACCATTCCCTCATTCTCTAGCTTACACAGATCAGAGATAGACTTGTTGACTTACCTTAGACTGTGAGCTCTGTGAAAGCCAACAGTTCTTCTATTTTCCACCACGTGTTCCAGCCCTTATTTGTCTAATGAAATGAAGTGGTAAATATGTATTAGTTATTATAATGTCTGGTTTAGTTATTCTACAAAATAAATTTACTAGGAATATTCAGAACATTAGCATTAGTTTCAAAAAGTTGGCTGTAGGGCTGGGAAGATGGCTCAGTGGTAGAGCGCTTGCCTTGCATGCCTGAGGCCCTGGGTTCGATTCCTCAGCACCACATAAGCAAAAAGAAAGCCAGAAGTGGCGCTGTGGCTCAAGTGGTAGAGCGCTAGCCTTGAGCTGAAGAGCTGAGGGGCAGCACCCAGGCCCAGAGTTCAGGCCCCACGACCAGACCCACCCCCCAAAAAAACTGTTTATATAACAAACATCTTTCATTACTAGATACAACATAAAAAATGGGATGGGATGAAGACAAAAAACCTAAATATTAAGTAAATTCTTAATGGTATAAAATTAGCCTAATTGTCTATTTAATTTACTTATTTAATTTACTTAATGTAGTCCTAGTGTTTGAACTCAGGGCCTTGAGTTCACTCACCTTATACTCTACCAATTGAGCCTTACCACTGCTTCCCTAATTTTATATTTCTTTATATATATTATTGTAAAGATACTGTACAGAGGGGTTATAGTTACACGAGCAAGCTAATGAGCCCATTTCCTACCAAGCATTGTTACCCTGCCTTTGTTTTTCCCCTACCATCCCATCCCTCCCCACCTCCTCCCTAACCGCCCCCACCCAAGTTGATACCTAATTTTATATTTCTTAAACTAGGGTAAAAGGCCAGATGCTAGAGACTCATGCCTGTATTCCTAGCTCCTCAAGAGGCTTAGTTCTGAGAATCACGGTTTGAAGTCAGCCAAGGCAGAAAAATCCATGTGACTCTTATCTCTAAGACCTTGTGCTGCCGGAACATGCAAGCGCGCGGACACACACACGCGGACACACACACACACACACGGACACACACACACACACACGCGGACACACACACACACACGCGGACACACACACACACACAGAGCCAGAAGAGGAGCTGTGGCTCAAATGGAAGCTTTCAGCAAAATGGCTTAGGAACTGTGCCCAAGCCATGAGTTCAAGTTCCAGTCCCAGCATAAAAAATTGGATAAAATTACACCTCGTGAGATGCACGTTGTTAACTTATTCAATTATTGCCATTCAATTATTTAGACAAATATTTAGTACCCAAGATTGTTCTAGGTGCTGACCACAGGGCAGCGGAAAAGATAAAACCCAAAGTTCTCACAGAAATGTGCTTTTATTGTACAGGTTAGACAGAAAAGAAGAAAATGGTAAATAAAATAGTTTCAGATTGAAGAAAGTGTCTTTTTTTTTTAAAGTCTTAGTGTGATGGAGGAAGTACTGGGGGCGCCATCTTTGAAAGGAATCTCCTGAAAAGAACTAATAAAAAATAAACCAAAAATCAAAAACAATAACCAAAAAACCGGGGCCTGAATACCGAGGTTAAAAGCCATCCCTCGGGGTTAGATGAGAGACCAATATTTAATTCACAAGGTAAGAAGTGCAGAGCTGGGCGTGGTGCAGGGGAGAGGAGGCCATATTTACCACGGAACGTGGTGGTCGGGAGAGGACCGGGGTGCAGACTCTGCAGGGAAGCCATTTCCATCGCATTTAACCAGTCTAAGAAACCATTGGGTGCGTGTGAAAAGTCACAGCAGGCCCCAGGCCAGGTTAGGCCGAAATAGCGCAGCAAAGGAGAGAGGAGTGAACGCAGAAAACAAACTTATCAGGTAATTTCATCATCCAGGAAAGGAATGCTGGTCCTTTGGGCAAGCAGTGAAGACTGCCAGCCAGGAAGGCAGGAAAGTTGTAGAAAAGAACTTTTCCAACTTGCTGGATAAGTAAAGGTGTCGGGAGAGAGGTAAGGGAAGCAAATGAATTAGGATTCCCTCCCTTTCTTTTCTTTCATAATTACAGATGTAAGTGAACAAGCAAAAAAAAAGAGAGAGAAAGAAGATAGGTCTACTGTCTTCACAATGAAAAATAATGTAAAATTAATTGTAAAGTTGCTACATTCTGCAATCCAATAAGATATTTAGAAACATAGTTGAACTTAGAAAAGTACGTTTTAAAATTTCCACTCTCTAGCCAGTGGGTTCACTTTGCCTTTTCTCTCTTTTAAGACTTCGAGGTCAGTAACCCAAAGCAGCTGGCGATCCATGCAGTCCAAAAAGTTCGAGATTTAGTGGCCCAAAGGCCACTTTTCCCCACTCGCTTCCCGAATGATAGAACTTTTTTTTCTCTCTCTCTCTCAATTCTGATTTTCAAACCTTTTTTTTACTCCTAGATCTTCAGTTATAAAATACATCCAGTTTGCCACATCAGAAAAAACAAAGTTTCCTGAAATCACTGACTTACCCAGACGAACTCTGACTCCTCCTCGCCCAGTTCCCGCAGAGGTAAGACAAAGGAGAAATAGAACTCGCACCCCAACAGCTGGAGGACTCGGCCTGGCCGCGTGCTCGGCTCCCAGCCCCCGCCTCCTCCGGCTGGATGCATTCAAACTGGGCCACACCTACCAATTAACGCCGCCCGCGGTAGGTGGGGTGAGGTCCCCAGGTGGCTGTGGGCGGGGCTTGCAGGTAAGGCGGCCCCGGGAAGGTGGATGGATTATCACACGTGCTCGTCTCCGCAGGACAGCTGTGGTTCCTTCCTGGCTTAAGTCTGTAGGCCTCTGCACAGGGCAAAGTCCCAGAGTCCCAGAGACCTGGAACTATGCAGCATGCACCCCATAGATGTTCATGAACATAGGTGCAAGAAAATTTAAGCTCTTAGGTGCTGGTTTTTACTCGCTGAGAATAGAAACACACAATGGCTGCCTTCCCTGCACATTTTACCGAACTTCTAAGTAGTAAACTTCTCTGACTGCTCTTTGTCATATATATATATATATATATATATATGACATATATATGTATGACATATATATACATACTTGTTTGCTTGTTGTTTGTGAATGAATTTCTATTGTAAGATTAGAAAAGGTAACTTCCAGTTAAAAAATTAATTTTTGTTTGATTCCCACATCTTCTCCAGATACAGCTTCCTTAGCTCCCTACTTTAGAACATGCTATTCGCAGGTGAATTTCTAAAGTTAGAGATATTAAGAAAGTTTTTCTCTCCTGGTCCTTGTTCTGATGTGTGAGCAGGGTAAAGGAGATGAACCAGGCTGAAAGGGAAAACAGAGCATGCTATCTGAAAGGGAAAACAAAGCATGCTCTCTGAAAGGAGTTGGGGGGGGGGGGCAGGAAGGAAAGGAGGAAGGCCAGGAAAGGGAGGGAGGATGGAGAGATACCCTGAGGGAGGGAGAAGGAGGAAGGGAAAGAGGGAGGGGGGAATAGAGGGGGAGAGAAAAGAGGAAGGGGAGAGATTAGGGTGGGACTCATAGGAGAGAGTGAAGGTGTGTGTGTAAGAATATGATCGAAATATACATTTCCAAAAAATAGCAAAGTGAAACTTGATTTGAAAGGGTGGGAGAGCAATAAAGGGAATAAATTTTAATCAAAGTACATTATATCCTGTATGGAAACATTACAACAAACCTTTTTGTAAATTAATATGCGTTAATAAAAATAAAATTATAAATATCACATACATGTTCTCAGATCAGTTTTGCATCAGTACCTCTTCCCCTATTTTTGTGAAGGAAATATTAAAGTTTGAGTCTCTATTTTTATATATACTTTTTATTGTACAAATACTGTACAGAGGGGGTTACAGTTACATGAGCAAGGTAATGAGTACATTTCCTATCAAGCATTGTTACCTCCTCTGTTCCCTCCTACCTCCAAAACTACACTTCCCCCTCCCCTGCCTAGATTGTAAAGTTCATTTTTCAACATAGTGTCTTATGCATCTAAGGTCTGAGTTTCTATAAGAAATACAGCTTCAAGGAGCTAGCAGATCCTACACACACACACACACACACACACACACACACACACACACACACACACTTTCTTTAACCTGCTTTTTTAGAATTACAACCCTTTGATACCATTGGGTTAAGCATTTCATCAGAGAACACACACTAGATTAATTCCTTTTATAAAGAAATATTATTTCTCTATTTGTTCAAAGGGGTTTTAACGACACTCCTCAATGTAGGAGAACAAACCAGATTAATTTCTAATCCCTCCCCAGCTCTGATAAGCTCTTCCTATTTGGTCAGAGTTATTTAGGGTGTGGCCTTGGTTGGAAATCAGATAACACTGGTAGGTTTCTTTTTCCTTCCTTCCTTCCTTCCTTCCTTCCTTCCTTCCTTCCTTCCTTCCTTCCTTCCTTCCTTCCTTCCCTCCTTCCTTCTTTCCTTCCTTCCCTCCTTCCTTCTTTCTTTCTTCCTTCCTTCCTTCCTTCCTTCCTTCCTAACTTCCTTCCTCTCTTCTTTCCTCCCTTCTTTCCCCCCTTCTTCCCTCCCCCCTTCTCTTACTCCTCTTCATCCTCGACCCTTGCACTTATATGGCCAGCACTGTACTACAGCTCCACTTCCAGATTTTTTGCAGGTTAACTGGAAAATAAGAGTCTCATGGACTTTCCATCTAGGTTGGCTTCCAATAGCAATCCTCAGATCTTAGCTTCTTGAGCAGCTAGGATTACAGGCATGAGCCATTGGCCTCTGTCTATCATTTCATTTTATTTTAATTGCTTTAATTCCAAAGAGCCACAGAGGCTATGGTTAGTGTTTTGGCCAATGCAATTTGGAAGAAAAGCATGCACTGACAATAGGTCTACCAAACCATCTTGTGTTGTGGAGTTCTCTAAGCTGGATTCGTTATTTTAATACACAATTGTGTATGTGTTTGTGTGTTATGCACTGAATTGTGCTTGAACTTGAGTCCTAGGTGCTGTTCCTTAGCTATTTTTGCTTAAGGTTATCACACTACCACTTGAGCCCATAGTTTCATTTCCCAATTTTTGCTCCTTAATTGGAAATAAGATCTCATTGACTTTCCTGCCTGGGCTGGCTTTGAACCACTATCCTCAGATCTCAGTCCCCAGAGTAACTAAGATTACAGGTATGAATCCCTGGTGCCTGGTTTAACTATCTTTCTAGCTTCAGAATTTAGCTCAAAGGCTCTTTTAATTCCTGGAATAAGTTAGGGACAAATTAAACCGTGAAAGAAAAGCCAGCTGCCTTTTGAAGTTGCACACAAAGGGTAGTGTGTAGAAAGAAGAATTTTTTGGATTGCCAAAATCTTAGTCATAGTAATTTTTCTGCTAAGAATACAATGGTCATCATTTATATATATGTATACACACACATATGTGATATATGTGTATACATAATTATATATAATAAAAAAGTGTTAGAAACCAATATTTTATTTCAACAATTTACAAACAAACAAACAACAACAACAACAACAAAACCAGACAACTCTTGAGAGAAACTATGCAGACTTGAGTTCTTCCCTGTTCTAGGCCCTGGGGATAGGATTCTTCTTGTCTTGGAATTTGCAAGCCAAACTTGCAGGGCCAGACAGAATTCGCATAAGTAATTTGCTGGAAGGCAGAAAGTTTAAATAGTGCCAAAGGATCCATCAATCAAGATGAACCATAATTTGGGGCTGGGAAGGTGGCTCAGTGGTAGAGTGCTTGCTTTGCATACCTGAGGCCCTGGGTTCAATTCCTCAGCACCACATAAGCAAAAAGAAAAAAGTCGGAAGTGGCTCTGTGGCTCAAGTGGTAGAGCACTAGCCTTGAGCTGAAGAGCTGATGGACAGCGCCCAGGCCCAGAGTTCAGGCCCCATGACCGGACCCAAAAAAAAAAGATGAACCACAATTTAATCAAAATTAGTGTAAAAAGTTCCAATGGCTCATGGTTTTAATTCTAGTTATTCAAGAGCTAAGATATAAGGATCCCTGTTCAAAGCTAGCCTAAGCAAACAAATCCAAGAGATTTGTACCTCTAGTTATTTGGCAAAAAGCCAGAAGTGGAGGTATGGCTCAAGTGGTTGAGTACCAGCTTTGAATGGGAAAAGAAAAGAAAGAGCATGAGGCCCTGAATTCAAGGTGTTTTTTTTTTTTAAATTTGAGTTTTGGTACCCTAATAGTAACATACATAGACACACACACACATACCACATGCTAAATGAACCAAATATCCAAATTTTAAATAAAGACAATCAGAGAATGTTGCTCCTATGATCATGTTCTTACATTACAAAATCCATCTATTATTAGTAGAATAAATAGTATTCTGTGTTTTATGTTTGTGTTTTTGCCAGTCTTGGGGTTTGAACTCAGGGCCTGGGCACTGTCTCTAAGCTTTCTTTTTGCTCAAGGTTAGCACTCTTACCAGGTGAGCCACAGCACCACTTCTGCTTATGTGGAACTGAGGAATCGAACCCAGGGCTTCATGCATGTTAGGCAAGCACTCTACCACTAAACCACATGACTAGTCCCAGGGTTCTGTATTTTGGGAGCCCAAGAGAAGAGTTGTAAAGTTGAAGGTTTCCCTGGGGCTGTTAGAATGGGAGTAATGAGGTTGGTGGGCAAGAGTCTATCTGACAAGTAGATAGCTGTAGTTACGGAAGGCTGTGGAAGGTAAGAGGAAGCCAGTGTGCTGAGCCTTGGATTAATGTGGATAGGTCTTAGATCTTCATTCCTGAGAGCTGGGAACTGGAGAGGAAAAGAAAATATCCTTCATCTCCAAGTACTTATCAACAACAGACTTATAAAACATTATTTTATAATTATAGCTCAGTCTTTCTAGTTGGTCTGTCTAATATTAACTGAATTCCTTGTACTTAATCTCATTTTACCTTGAAATCAAATTTATAAAACAGTTATTAGTAATATTGTTAATATTCTTATTATGCGTTTAGAATGATAATCCTGAAACACAAAGAAAGTTCATGCTGTGTGTCTAAACCCAGATTATAACACTACCTACGGTGCTTAATTCTTTGAAATGCATAATTGTGATCTAATGTAGCATTTTACATTGAATTATAGCATTTTACAAACTCCCTGGTTGTTAATTTTCACTTAAAAATCTCTTACATTATTTTCTGTAATTTACAATACTGTTTTCAAACTTGTTTGATCCTCATTGCAGTCTTAGATGTTACTCTGAGCTCTATAAGTGAAGAAATAGAAAGTCAGCAAGGATAAAAGCCTTTTAGAAATTGTTATTATAAAGGTGATGTATTATTATAAAGGTTACAATTACAAAAGTCAGGTAAAGAGTACATTTCTTTTTGGACAATACCACCCCTTCCCTCCTGTCTCCACACATAAATTGTACAGTTCATTTTCAACATAGTGTCTAGTGAGTACCCTTTGTCCCTCAATTTCTGTGCTCCCACTTACTATGCCAAAGTCAGATAAATGAACAAACAAGACAAAAAGAAAAGGAAATAAAAACAATAAAGGGAAAAAAACTATTTTTTCCATTTTCTGGAGTTCATTTGATAAAGACTTCTTCAAAACCACAAAATGTTAAGTTTATGCAGCAGGGTTTA